TTAAGTTGCCACAAAATCTTATCAATATTAATTTTAAGATTCTATCACTTTTGTTATTCTTTTAATACAATGTTTAAACTTTTTGTATAGAAAAATATTTTACATATATTTTTAAGATAATGCATTGTGTGGAAAAAATTATTCATTTGTGACGATACATAGTAGTACGCTCCGAAATACATGACATGTAGATACACAGCGGATGAAGTTGATCGCACCAATGTATATATAACAGACACTTTAAACATTAACACTAGTGGCTATATCTAGCTATTATCATTTTATTTTTAACGGTTATTTAACTTTTTCTTATACTCAAATACTGTTTTAATTTTTAATGTCCAGCACGCATTATTACGTTGCTGCAGAAAATATCCTGTGACGTTTTAATTGTTTAAGAAGATTTATGTGTGGTACATCGATACAATGGCAATAGCGAAAAATGATGACAAATGAAATGTCGATTGATGAGACAGAATTATCGAAGATTGAAAATTTATCGAAAGAATATTCGCTACTTATGTCAGTCAAAAATTACACGCATCATTGTCATTTCTCATCAAACAGACTAATGGAAATAAATTGCAGCAATGAAACAACTCTGTACAAACGAAATATAATTATGAGACTGTTTTCATTTTCGTGGAACAAAAATATATTTGCCAAAATTAGATTTATATTCTAATTAAAAAATTTTTAAATCAATATCAATGCGACATCAAATCGTACATAATTACTGCTTATATTCGTGCACTAATAAATCGCACTGTATAATTCTCAAGTTAAATCGTATATCTCTAATCACGTGAAAATATGTAAAAAAAAATGAGATTCATTTATGCACTTATGATGAAAGAAATAGAAATATCAGGTAAATTTTTTAGAATGTTTCTCTTATTTATATATCGCATAATTAATTCTTTATAAATAAATGCAAACACAAAATTAAGGATATTCAGATTAAGTATTTGAAGGTATTAATCTTGTAATATCTGTAAAATTTAGAAAAAAAAATACGCGATACTGATCATCCCGTATGTCGGAATGCACTAAATATTTGGATCAATATGCAATTTATCTTTGCTTCAGCGTTATTAAAATAAATTGGTTTAAACATAATTACCGATCTTTTTAAACAAGCAAACATTTTTACTAAAAGATATAGATACTGAATCTTACAAATGCAAAATGAATGAATGTCTAAAGAGTTACAAATGATAATAGACCATTGACACCCACGGATTTCCGGCTTACACGATTATCGTTTGACCAATCTTAGGCAATTTTGCAATTGGCTGCGACGGGATCAACGCGAATGTGATATCAAGCCTGTAATACAAATTTCTCCTTCCTCCTACTATACGAAGTTAATTAATGTTATAATGTATGTTATTAATAGCGAATAAAAGAGACAGCAAGGAAAAGAGAGAAATTGAAAATTAATATAGGTACATCAAATAAATTATAACAGAATATTCATTACTCAACATTGTATATGTATACTTGTTTTTATTTTTTATATTCTTTGTAAATTATTGTGTGAGAGATTATATTATTTTTTGTTTTTACTACATAATTATATTCCATTAATTTTTCGATAACGAAATTATGTGACAATAACCATTACGGTTTATTATTTAAGTGTATTTGAGAACACAAATTGATTGGAAATTAATGTGAAAACAATTTAAAATAATATTATTCTTATTGTTTCGTATAGGAGTTTTGCAAAATGTTTATACATTGTATTATTCCCTCCATTTTTCCGTTCAATTTTTCGCTTCCCTGCTCTTGATATTCTCTCTTATTCTTTCGATCAGTTACGTAAGTTATCTCTACCCCCTCTTGATCCTTCTATCGCAATTCTGTAAGTTCCTAAGGAAACAGGGAAGAAGATCACGTAGATCCAACTCAACTCTCGTCGAGAAACATGATATAAGGATCACTTTCTTAAGAAATACATTCTTCATTATAAATACGTGTTTATAGAGGCCATTTAACATTGTATTCAACAAACTCTTATTTTGAATTTGTGTTTCCATAGTATTTACCATATTTATAGATAAATAAGAGAAACAGACTTTTTTAATGTAAAGGAAAGGCCCCTATTATGAGTTACCGAGTTCATTTTGGGTAAATGTTAGAAGTCTATAAGCAGAATTTAAAAAAATAATAAGCCATTTTAAAAGAAATTTAATAAGCTTTAAGATAACATCAACAAAGGTTACATAAAATTTAATTCAAATTCCATTTTTTTTTTAATTAAAGAAATGTAAAAAGTGAGCAAATTGCAAAGTCAAAAAATTGTGATCCTAATATGAGATGCTCCGAGAAATCGATAATAAAACGCAAAGTATATTCATATTGCAATTAAAAAACTTTATTTAATGTTTCTAAAATACAAACAAACCAACCAGCGTGCGCGAGAAATGAGCATGCGATAAATTATACCCAGAACTCTGGTTTTCAGGTAATTGGAATTAAGCATCGCCGATATAAGCACTCGACGTTCATTCCGGTTGTCTTTTTTATTATTGTACAATAACATTTATACTCTAGCAATGATTTTCATTATAACATAAGAGCATGGGTTATTTCATATTATTATAGCAATACGCTGGATATCTCATATTACGATTTCCACGTCTGATAGTTTTACGATCATTAAATCTAACTTCTGTAATTAAACAATTCAACATATCCCGCATCTTTTTATTAGTACGACCTTACCATATATCATTAGATGAAGAATTTATTGCAAATATTTATTTATTAAATAATAAACAAGGTTTAAACGCTCATCTCAATGAAACTTGAAGACATCCAAATTCTAAAATTTTGCTTTACAATGACTACAAGCATGATCTAATAATGAATTTTCTACTAAATAGTTTTCAATCCAAGAGCAATAAATTCATGGTAGAATACCAATAGATAGTTTATTAATTTAACAGAAACGCCGCTCTCATATTAGGCGCCTATCCCATAATAAGGGGCTTTCCTCTATAATACTAAAATATCTTACATATATTAATGAAATTTGAAATATTGTTAAAATAAAAAAAATAAATCCTTAAAAATTTATGAGAACATTTTAAAATTAGCTGCTTCCAATTTGTTGCTTGTGCAAACACTTTTTAAAAAGTATATTTAGTATTTTGACACTTGAGACATTTCAAAGGATATTTTTGATTCGCCGTTCCAGAGAAATATTTTCTTCATTAATGAATTGGCCGTTCTGGAAAACTAACTTTTTTTATAGTACTATGTACATATCGATCGCCATTGGTACTATTCATCCGTGACCAAGTTCAACGGCGGCCTTCTTCAACATAGAAGGGGGTTCTACATGTAAGATCGAGTATACGTATATTACACTGCTGAAACTAGGGAGGCCACGAGGAGGACGCGAGGGTGCGGGGTCAAAGATGATCGTGATAATCACTCAACGATGAACATCCATAAATAGCCATAGTCGGTGAGCAGTTTATAGACAGTTAACGCTGAAAGAGAATGTCGAAGCGCGCTCTTTGAAACTGATTGTTCACGTACGGCATGAGCCTAATACTAATAAATTTTAGTTTGTCGCAATAATTTGATGTTAAATAGTATGTCATATATTACTTTCATTTCCGACGTAACAATAGGCATGTTTTAATAAATTTAACAAATTTAACAGCATCTTTCAAAAATTGACTTGATATTGATTAAAAATAGATAATTTCTTTCTATAAGTTTTTATCTGTCTCTATAAACTCAATATTCAGAGGACAGAAGCAATTTTAGAAAAAAATTTGAGACTCATATGCAAAATATGATGACACAGCGTGATGGCTTTAATATTACTCCAAAAAAAAAAGTAGTACGTCAAAGGGGAAGTTCATCGTGTCTTTGGTACACAATAGAGTCGCCAATGTTGATCAATAAAATAACCGAAGAAATATCGCAAAAAAAAATCGCTTTAAATTAGATTATCTGTAATAATGTATCTAGTAATGATAATGTATCTTTAATCTCTTTATCATTAATCTGCAAGTGCGATTGCGCGTCTGCAACGCGAGAGAATAAGACTATCTCTAGTCACTGAATATAGCCACTATTAACCCGGATCCTGTATATTAGGATATATGCAGATAAAACAGAATCTAAGCGCAAACCTAACTAAACTACACTATTATTGGTTTAACTTTACTGAACTGCTTTGATCAAACAGCGATAAATATTTGCACGAATGAAAGCTTAATTTAACCCCTGTTCTCCTTATTTGGACGCAGAAACATAAATCCTTTTCATATCCTATCACATCCTATTCAGCACTTTACAACTTTATTTCAAGTTTAGACAGTATGATGAAAAAGTGTTCTTAAAATGAAATTTACTATATTTAGACATTCAGAAAGTATTAAGTTACTATCTGCTTGGATTATACAATGTTGATTTTATTACTTAATTTTTTTACAACACACTGTATATGAATTTTATGTCTAGAAAATATTTTTGTTGATATCGTACAATCTATAATTATATATTATTTACGCAGGTAACGGTCTGTTTCTGTAAAATTATTGTTGTCATTTTTATATTTCCGATATCTTTCGAATAACCTAATCGAATTAGTGCATACGTATGTGTATTACCATTCTATAAAAGTTGTCAATTGCAAAACGTTCGAATGAAAAAAATTCAGATTAATTTTTACATTTATATTAAAAATTTCTAATAATATCAGAAATTTTTATTAGAGCACAAGTAATTAGAATTAAATTTGGATTACAAAAAAAAAACTTATTTTGAAAGAAGGAAACAGAAAGAATCTCTAATTGTAAAGAGGTTTCTATTAAAAAAAAAAGCATTTATTAAACAGAGACCGCGATCATTACAATATAACATGAACGAAATTGCCTAATTTGCCTTTTTTGTTTCTTCATCGATTTCCTCTTTCTCAATCTATTTTAAAGGACAAACTTTTATAAGCTTATTTGCTTGTTTCAGATATTTGAAAGAATGATAATCCTAATCGAATGAAAATACTGCTGAAGAAATAGGAGAAATCTGAACTTTTGACTCTCGATTATGCCTATGTGATGATTGCGTTCTATACTTTACTGCATTACTTTAGGATCGCGGCCGAAAAGGACGTGTTGTGCCAAATGTTCTTTCATCAGATAGATACATGATAAATATGTTGGCAAAGTTTGACCAAGCTTTATAAGATATAATCAAATCATACAATGACAACTTAGCAAATGTAAAATACAACAGCAATCTTATTAAGAATTGTAATGATTCGAAATATCTTAGCGAGACGAGATGAGAGGACAGACGGAAATGAGAGATCTCGCAAATGTATACGCAACGCCAATGCCCTGACGTTTAGTCGTCTAGGGAAAATTAAGAGGGTCAAGATCCTTGGACAATCGCACGTCGGGGTGATTATGGTCGAAAGACCGTCGTAGTGGTACGGCTGCGCACGGTAAAACATGAATGACAGCGAGATCTATCTATTGAACTGGGAAGAAGAGGTACATGCATTAAACAACGATCTTGATAGAAGCTTTTATAACGCGAACTATCCGTCGTATAATCACACCTATGAGGATCTCTGGGAACTCGCCACGGATCGAATCGGTCTCGCGATCGTTTTATTGCTCTTCTCCGTAGCTACCGTTTTCGGCAACTCGTTAGTGATTCTCGCGGTATTCCGAGAGAGGCATTTGCACACAGCTACGAACTACTTCGTGACTTCATTGGCTTGTGCCGATTGCCTGGTAGGACTCGTAGTGATGCCAATTAGCGCGGTGTACGAGGTATTGGAGAACCGTTGGCTGTTCACGACGGACTGGTGCGACGTTTGGCGCTCGCTCGACGTTCTCTTCTCCACCGCGTCCATTCTAAACTTGTGCGTTATTAGTCTAGACCGCTACTGGGCGATCACCGATCCCTTTACGTACCCGACACGAATGAGTAGGAAGCGCGCCGCGATCCTAATCGCGATCGTATGGATCTGTTCGAGTGCGATCTCTTTTCCCGCGATAGCATGGTGGCGTGCCGTTCGTACTGAGCAAGTGCCCGAAGACAAGTGTCCCTTCACGGAGAATCTCGGTTACCTGATATTCTCGTCGACAATCAGTTTTTACCTGCCGCTATTCGTGATGGTATTCACGTATTACAGAATCTATCGCGCCGCCGTGATACAGACGAGGAGTCTAAAACTCGGCACGAAGCAGGTGATGATGGCCTCGGGCGAGCTCGAACTCACGTTGAGGATACATCGGGGCGGTACAACCACCAACACCGACGCCAGGCATCTTTTTCGCACCGCCTCGAGCACACCCGAAGACCTGCAAGATCTCGAGGAGCCGTTAACGGCTCTTCACAACAACGGTCTCACCAGAGTGCCCTCCGCGAGGATCAGCAATAAACAACACCTAGGAAAAAATTTCTCCCTCTCGCGTAAACTCGCCAAGTTCGCCAAGGAGAAAAAGGCGGCGAAGACCCTTGGTATCGTCATGGGTGTATTTATTATTTGCTGGCTACCGTTCTTCGTTGTGAATCTATGGTCGGGATTCTGCACGAGGTGCATATGGCAGGAAGAAATCGTATCTGCGGCCGTCACTTGGCTCGGCTGGATTAACAGCGGAATGAACCCCGTGATATACGCCTGCTGGAGCAGAGATTTTCGTAGGTGAGTTTTTGTGCGTAGTTAATTATTTTTCCGAAATCAGAATTGTCGAATTAAAATTATACTTTTCGCATGCACCGTTTTCCATTTTTTTCTTTTTCATATTAACGCACTTGTTAACATATCATATATGATAATTCATTATTATTTTTAATTACTCGTATCAAGTATGTTGTACATGGCCGACATCATTGTATCAGAGTTATGCATACGTTGAAAATGTTCTGTTACAAACGTACAAATTCGTACCTACGATACCGAGCAAGGTATATTCATCTCTTTAATAGTATAGTAGATGCTGCGGCTAATGTGATAGACCAGATAGACATGCATGCATCATCAGGTTTACCATTATCTTCGTTCGTTCCGTGTCTACGTTCATACTGTACATAACAAATATAATGCGCAATAGTACTAGAATATTAACGCGCTTACATGTCACTATCATGCACCGATTTATGAGCGCGGGATGTAGTTTACAATCAATCACCACGTTCTGACGTTACTCGACATCACCAAATTGTCACCGTTATCCTAATACAGATATCTATTCTATTCCCTACGAGTCGTCGTACCAACCAACCACATAGGATATGCTATCAAGCGAACCATCAACTATGTAGAGGGTAATTTTTTTCAAGGAGAGAAAGAAAACCCGTAAAAGAGGGCACTCGTGAGATTCTAGATCGATTTTAAGTCAACCCTGCGGAGCTATCTCCATTTAAAACACATATATATATATATATATATA